AGCGAGACGCGCCCCCAGCGCGACTGGGCGATGGCGCGCGTTTGGTGGGTTGGTTCGGTGGATCAAAACCGGTGGTTTTTGCAGGGATCCGGAGGGCATTCCAGGTGGACTGGATCGGTTGGATAGTCAATTTTTCGCATTTCAAACAGGAGCTCCATTTTTTGCGATCTATTGCTTTTCAACAGCTCTGGGGAGCTTCCTCCACAGCCAATAAAGAAACTGGACCAATGACCAAGGATGTGAACCTATCATGTTTTTTTGATGTTTTTGGGTGGGTAGGTTCTGATCCCTACCCGCAGATCCGTCCGCGTCCTCCTGTGTTAATGGCAAAACACGTCCGACAGTGACCTGGAGCACTATAATGGACAGTGTTGGTTCTATTTTTTTCGCACCCCCAAAAATCCATCCTCGGTTCTGGCTTCTAAAAGCTCTGCGTGCTCAAAAGATTGGTCATAAATGCGGTTTTTCATCGGAGATGCCAGTGAACTGGGGCAAAGGCCACCACATGGGTCACCCTGACCAATTTGAGTTCACTCGTTAAACTGATGTGAGTGTTAATATTGGATCCAAATCATCAACCTATCAGGAATTGTGCCGCCTGTGTCGTGTGCCAACTCTACTCTGAAATCATACCGACATGCCAGGACGAAGAAAGGGCAATTCCGCAAGTTCTGAGGTCTTCATGCAAGCCACATCCAAAGCAACGAGTTCAACCAGCAGCCTTTACTCATCCATCTCATCCAAAACATGTCTGTACCAAACGGAGCCCCAAACCCATGTGTGGGGACTCCGCCTCAACGGTGTCGTCCAATCTCGAGTCAAAACATCAGAGTAATTAAACAGCATGTCCCATTGACATGGGCAGCCCAAAACAACAATACCTTCGAGATCACGGATTTTCCGATGAATGGCCATCCACATGTCTTCTCACCCGTTTTCTCCCCACATGAGCCGACTCCCACTTCCTCACCGCCCCACGCCAAAACCCACGAAACCGCTCGGCCAACCGGCTCGGCCAACCGCTGACGGCTGGGCGTTCCGCACGGTGAAGGTCTTTGAAGCCACGGGACTCCAATTGGCTTCGCCCCGCCGGGACCTGGTGCGTTCGCCGAAGCGGCGGACGGCCGGACGGACGGACGGTTTATCGGCACGTGTGGGCGAACCCGAACGGACGGTGTGACCGGTGTGAGCTGTGACGGAGCGGACGAGGACGTGTGAGGCGGTGGGACATGGTCCTGGTGAATTTGTTGGGGATGTTTTTTATTTTTAACGAATGTTAGGATGGACCATATGGAATGATCTGGAGAGTTGATCCACATTCTGAAGGTGGGGGGGAAGGTCCCTTCACTTTCGGCTGATAAGTTTGATGGCAGAAAGCCCTCAGTGCACTGCACGGTTCAGCAGAAAGCTGTAACCGACCGAATTCGATTGTTGTTCTGGACTTCTCATCAAAAGGAATCAAGGCTCATGCTTCTGCTTTTGCGACTCTCTGGCTCGTTTCATGACTGAATGCTTGTCTTTACTCAATTTCAGCTAATTATACTTATATGCTGTCGTCCTGCAAAGCAGTGAAAGCAGAGGGTTAATGTCTCTCACCTAGAAGGAAGACACCAATCATTGCTTCGGTCCTATTCAGCTCAAAGAAGCACATCCAGCTGAACATTTAGCTGACTATTTAGCCCGCTTTGATCCTTGAACCCGAATTCACATGCCAAGTTCCAGGCCTCAACAAGCGGTACTGGCTTCGCAGCCACTCTTCTCCCGAGGCATCATTCGAGAGCCTCCCGCAGCAGTAGATTCACCAGTTGGGTGAGGTAGGTTGGTGGGGGTCCTGAGGCAGGATGAAAAGATCTGCAGAAATCAAGCAAAGTGTGCAGTGCGTAAGGTGCGGAAACTTAATTAATGGAACTGTTTACTCTGTCAACCTCACCATGACAAGCCTGTGTCATCTATATAGTGTCATCACATGTCATCACTAGTGTCTGCCTCTCCAACCTGAAATATCGTGTCATCATGTGTCCATCAACTCACTTCCATGTTCCCTCAAACACAAACACAACTCCCACACAACTCCCACACAAACCTATCAGAGATCAACGACCAAAGGCGGTCCGCGTCCACGAACTTACCTCAGCAAGGAGAGCGAGAAGTATGGTTACTTATCAGTCGATGGTAAACGCCTCCTCCAAGTTGATGGTGAACGTTACAGAACGTTGGAGTCACAAGTGTCCTTCAAATTTGTTCATTTTTCAATGTCCTATAGGAAATAAGGAGCTGACTTTCCATGCAACGCTCGTATGTTGTTTTTCGCAGCGAAAAACACCTCTGCTGTGATGGATTCAGAAGAAAGATCTCGGTGCGATCGGTCCAAGGTGCGATCTGTATCGTCCAAGACCTCTTCGAAGCTCTCTTCATCGGGGAAAAGCCAAGTACCATCCTGTGCGGCTTCTCGTTTTGGAACCACTGAGAGAACCGAGTCGTTTAGCAGGCGCCCTCAAAAGAGGCATTCAGATGTCATGGGTTAGCCCGTTGCAGTATAAAATAGAAATGGCTGGGTTATGCTGGGTCCCAAGATCTCCTGGTAAGATCTGGCAAGAACATGTTCTTATCTCATGCCTCAGCTTTTTGAGCTCCCGTCTAGGCTCCCAAGTCCATCCAATTCAATACACACCTACTCACTAGTATGGAAGTGGAACCCCCCCTGTTCGTAGAGGAAAGTAGTCTTCCAAGGGACCATTTTGCACTTGCATGTGATGTGTTCGTCGGAGTGTATCACAAAAAAAACGACCACACTCACGATCGCAGGCCACCAGCGATTGCACAAAGCAACCGAGCTCCGGTAACCCATGTGAAGGTCGTTTCCTTCCACGCTGCCGCCCTTCCGCGACCTCCTGCGCCACTCTCTGGACCCCAAAGAACACAAGAACAAGGACCTGTTTTTATCTCCTCCACAAGCACAAACACCAGCCCAAACACCAGTGCTGAAAACCCCTGAAACTCCACCCCAACACACGTCCCACGCCTTCAAGTCGATGCACTCCTCCACGGACAAGCGTCCATCGTGATTCCTGGGCCGAGAGGAGAACGCTCTGTTTCACAGGGTGTGAAACATACGGTCCACGACTTCTTTGATTGTTTTTTTGGTTTTGGGAGCGAGGAAGACACACGTGCTCGCTTTGTTTTGGTGCTCTTTAACACAATCACTTCCGACAATCATGGAAGCTGATCAGGACCTCCTTGTAGAGGAAAATGGTCTTCCATGGTGCCAAACTATTCCACTTGCCCGATGGTTTCGGGATATCTTTTTTTGGTGGGGACAGGCGGGGAAGACGTGTTTATTTTAATGGCCGGTGTTCTATTGTTTCAAGGCTACATGGAGCTCATGAGGATTTGGAGTTGTGTTTTCAATACACCTGGACCTGGCCATACTATATGAAAAATGATGAACATGATTCAACATGGGCTTGACTGGTTTGATTTGGTACCTAGACATACGATCGAGTTGGACGCGCGGAGGTTTCTTGGTCCCTTCTTCCGTTCGACACGCCTGGCGAAACCTCTTCTTCGACAAGTTGAATGTCTTGCAGAACCCATGCACCGACAAGCCGGTAGAGAAGCGCAAAAAGCCTATGTTGTGTTCCTTTGGAAAGCCACTCAAGATTTGTGTAACCTCCTCAACATACTAGCAAACCATGTAAATCAAGAGAAAACAAACACATGAAAACACCCCAAACAAGGGCAAATCCTCTTCCATACCCTGTTGGGCATTTTCCTGTTGTTCCATTCCTAAAGGGCAACCATCGACGCCCTTCGCAGAGCCAAGCGTCGCGTCCAGCGCTCGCAGCAGCCGACGCGCTCGCTCTTGGAGCTCCATGGGTCTCAGAGCGAAGCACGATGGGTCGCAGTGGAGCACTCCTTTGGTTCCTTCACATGCGAGACGCATCACTTATATGGCACCAGTGATCCTGGCCATGGCTCCTCAGTGTTTTTCCTGAAACATGTGCAAAACGCATCACTTAAGTCTACGACTGTCAGAGGCCTTTTGTCCTGAAAGTCTTGCTTCGGATGAAAGGATCAAACACAACATTTGGAGATCTGGTCGTCTTTCTAGGATGACAAAACTGTACTAGAAAGTAGTGGGTTCCGGAATGTTCCGGAATAATCCCGATCTACAGCAATCAAACGCTCCCTTCATCTGTTCAATGTGTTTAGTGCTCAGTTTGTGATTTCTTTCATAATCCCTGTTGATCCAAATGATGGACAGCCCCATCCCACAAGTTTGCAGCTCTCTTGCACTCTCTCTCTCTCTCGCACAGCATGAGCCGATGCATGGGCATTGTGATGGGTTGATTTCACTCAGCAGCTACGAACCCAAAGGTTTGAGCCGAACGAACCGCGATCTGTACGGATCGGCGACGTGGTCATCGGTGAGGATCGGCGATGACTCAAACTGGGAATTAAGCGGTCCATCGCTTGGTGACCTGCTTACACTCCCGAAAACTAACATGGAAGTGGAAAACCACCTGTTTGTCGTGGAAAATGGTCTTCCAAGGGGCCATTCTCCACTTCCATGTTAGTGGGTTTGTAAATATTGTTGCTGTTTTTTGCTCTATGGTCTGTGAGTGTGAGCCGGGATGTCTATAGGCTTGAGTCACGAAATGTGTTGGAATGCGCGGTTTTGGCATCTTGGGGCCACCAGAGTCTGTTGTACGTCGTATAGATAACCCTTTGCTCAGTTTGGAGCAAGGTCGTGCCATGTCTTGCAACCATGCTTTGCGGCCAAAGAAAGCTTATGATTGCCATTATGCATGTGGAAAGCAACACCAATATCTGCATCTTTAATGTTGACCTTTGCAACATTTAGCAACTACACTTCCAACAAACCCATAAAACCATAGGGGATGGTAGAGCATGTTCATGTTGGAGACCAGGTCGCTGAATCGCTCCCAACTGCAGCACCCAGCCCAACTGCTCGCTTCAGCCCCGGGTGCACCGTCCGCCTCGTTCCGCGTCTTCTTCTCGGGCGTTGGCCCTGCACCGGCTCGGCCACGGACCACCGGTGGATGGGATGGCAACTGCTTTGGGATGGCGACTGGTACGTGAAGAGGATCCATTTTTTTCCGGTGAATTTGTGTGAAAAATATGCGAAGCAAAAGGTTTTGTTCTATTTGTATAGCGAATTTGGCGAATTGGAATCTCCCCTCAGAAAGCAAAGCAGTTTGAGAAGTCGGCCTTATACACCACTATGAGACATTGTGAGACAAGGTTTTCGTCTTAACGGTTCTAAAGTGAAAACCCTCCCATGGAATCCGGCAAGTCATTGATTTCGCTGAGACGTTGGTCGAATTGTCCCCCCCTCCAAAAACGTGAAGAAATCCTTTACCAGCAGTCACAAGACGGGGTGCTTAATGGAGGTAGTCGGGGTGCCCTTGTCACATCCACTCACTGGATGGGACTAAAAACCACCCCGTCTTGTGACTCCTGGTACATGTCTTAAAGTCTTATAATTGACCGTGAGGGTGATGATTCTGATCATCGGCTCTCCCACATGAGACGCCATGCGAAATGGTCTCAATTCGACCGCGGCTGATCCGCATAGATGTTGTACGACCCGGTGGGAAGGGAAAAAGAACACATGTTACACATGTGTTCCTCATGTTACACATGTTGTTTGTCTTTGGAGTGAACCATGTAGGCTTTCACTAACACCTCGCCATACACAACTGTTGAGTCAAATTACCTCTGACTGATCTGACTGGTCGGTATGATTCTTTTCTTTTCTTTAGACTCAGGAAGAAGTGGCGTGAAGCGCTCAACATCAAAAGCATAGGAGTCAAGCCCTCAAACACTCTCTCTTCTGAGCTGACTCCTGGCAATCGAAGCGAAGGGGTATCACATCCCAAACGAGCGAGCAAACGCGGATTCTCTTGCACATATGAACCGTGGTAGTGGAGGAACCCTGACTGGTCATGGACCGACAACCCTCAAAAACAAAATTATACAAAAAACAATATACACTCAACCGTGGAAGTCAGCGCAGTCTTGACAAAGGCTCCGGCCGCACTCCGGCCGTCGAGTAGCCGTGAATCAGGACCCTTTGTCTGGACACAGTACCTACGTGGTCCACAAGCTATAGGGACTTGGATCCTTTATAGGGTACTTGGATCCTTTGGACCCTACGTGGGGTGCTTGGAACAGAGACCCCAATCGACACGCCGTCACTTCGGGTCGAATGTCATCCACTCCCACGAACTCCACCAGTGATCTGAAGGAGGGGTTGTCCAAAACAAACAGCTTCAACCACAGCCATACCCGGATCCAAGTACCTCCTCAGGTACTTGGATCCTTAGGGATAGCTTTCCCCAAACCTCTGGGTCTCCCCGCCACACGATTTCCGCGGCGTCCTTCGAGCGGCGCGCCCTTCGGGGCTGCGGACGCCTGGTGTCATCGGTGGCGATGGGAACTGGGGAATCACTACCCAGGACCCTCCAAGGGGTGCCCTGTCTGGAAGCCTGTAGGTAGTGTGGGGTAGTTCATTGGACACCCCGACAGGAGGGTCCTGGACAGTAGTAACCAGGACGCTATTACTAACTATAGAAGCTATACTAGGTGGAGGCCATCGACGGCCGCCATTAGGTTGGAGGCCATCAAGACGAAGGCACAAGGACGCTACTATAGTAGCTATCTGGTCTCGTCATGGACACCTATAGATGGTCAACCTACCAGAGGGAGGTCCGGCGCGACGCTGAAATCTCTGTTGTGATGGTTACGACCCACACAGGCAATGAGACTTCGCTGATTGTGTCTGGGTTCATTGGACTTCCTTGAACTTCGTAGTGTGAGAGAAAGGCCCGTCATCGAAACGCCGAGTTTTTTTGATGCGGACCTTCAAGTTGACGACAAGTCGTCCATGTGCGGTCCATATCCAGCAGCTTTTGTTGCAGGGTCTGAGAGCTGCTGACGATTGCTTCGGTTCAGGTCCGCCCAACGTCACCCCGAGCAAGCCACAGGTGGAGATCAGGTGGATCAGCATCGGTTCCGGAGGTTCTATGAGTCACATTGCTTTGGGCATCTATGACCTTCCTCCTATGGCCTTCTCATGTGTTTTTTTTTCTTGATGTCTTGCATGTTGGGTCATGTGGTTGAACATCAGTCTTTGTAAGACCCAGGGTCCGATCAAGCATCACTGAAGCTGCAGGGGGGCCTGGGGGACCATCTGCCCCATGCTTTTCGCTGGTGCCCCGAGGTCAAAACATCCAGTTCTGCGGTTGGTGAGACGCACCACTGACTTCGCTCGGTGAACTCCCGACGCACCACCTGGGTGAACTGAACTGAACCCATGTAGTCTTATAGTCGAGTAGTCATGGGGTGAGACACCCCCAAAACAGGTGACCTGCAGGTGATCCACGTACTTCCTAGCTGGGGATATGCTCTTTTCCTGAATCAAAAGACCAAGAGTTCAACCAGGTGATCCCAGGTACTTCGTCATGACATCAGGAATCCCCCAAAACCGGGGGAACCCGAACTCAAACCAACCTGCCCCCCCCGAGCTCACGTCCGGCCTGGCAAGGTGACCTGGCGCGTCCACCCCGAGATGACCCAGTCCCTGAGGACTTGGGAACCGACAGGAACAAGAAGAACATCCAGGGGTCACAAGACGGGGTGGTGTTTGGTCCCATCTGGTGAGTGGATGTGACAAGGGCACCCCAACTACCTCCAATAGGCACTCCGTCTTGTGACTCCTGGATGTTCACTGTTCACCGGGGGATTCAACTAGTTTAGGGACAAGAACACGCATGCACGGGTGCGTGTTCCGCACACACCGTACGCAAGTACGCATGCATCATCTGAATGGATTCGGAACCATGCGATTCGGAACCATCCCATGGTGCAATGGACCAATCTGCACGCCAAAACCACCATTTCTTCTTTTCGGACACCGAGTGGGTTCCGAGCAGCTCGCGAGTTCAGCGCGCGAGTTCTACTCGCCTCCTCCCCCAGCAGCTTCCGTCGGGCCGCTCCCCGAAGCGCTGGGCGGACGTAGCAGCCTGGTCTGACAGGAACTTGTGCAGGGCGCATGGCGCGCAATTGAAGTGTTCATATGGCGTGGACTTATTTAAGAGAAGAGGATGTGACCAATACATCTCAATGTCTACAATCATCAATTGGATCTGTTTCACTGCAAACATGTGTATATATATATATAACCATGATTCTTGCATGGTGAGAGAAAGCTCTCTCCAAGAGTTTTCAGGGAACACCACCAAAAACCCATGTAAACCGAGCAATGTCTGAGCCCTCGAGCCCTGCACTTCTGAGAAACTTGAAAAATCCCAGAGGTGGATTCCAAGTGCCTCTCGATGACTCTGGTGGCGAAAACATCTTCTTCCCAAACGCCAGACTTCCACTTCCGCCGAGTTGGTGGGTATATCCATCTATATAAACACTTTCCTATCTGGTAACAGTCTAAATTGGTCTATATAAGATGCCCCTCAATCTGATACTTTCTGCTCCGTTGATGGAACGTCCATCGCTCGAACCGTCTCACAGCCTCCAGGCTTCACTGTCGCTGACCTGGGCGGAGCCCACGTATACCGACGCGCTTGAAAACGTTCTCTTGGAGAGATGTTCAACACGATCCATCCAAAGGGCCAGGTGACCCCAGGTGGTTCCGTTCATCTGCTTCTTCTATGGGACCTTCCCGTCATTAAAACCTGGATGAGTCTGTGCGGTGCATGTGCACCAACAAACGACCCAGCGATGGTCCTTCTCTTCCCCCCCCTCGCCCAAGCAAGTCACATTCCCTCCGTTCCCTCGGTCATCACCTCAATGATCTCCGGACCCACCTGACAGGGAGTTCTTCGGAGAGGACAAGGGTTTTCCAGCCCTGTGGTTTCCTGAACAAGAAGAGCCCACAGAAGTCAGTGTTGGAAGCCGGGGTGTAGTTTGTTTGGGTGAGTCTTTTTGAAAGGTTTGGCCAAGTGGTATCGATATGGACGAAACTGATACATCCCCATGGTTCAAGCACTGCTTAGGTATAGTTGCCTCTATTTCATATGGTGTGCCTCCCGTTTTGCTCGTGAGAAATCGCACTCACGACGAGTCATCCAACCCACAAGAAAGCGATGGCACCAACAAAAACCGCCGTTTTGGGGGAAGGTGAACAGCGTAACTTGGCATGTGTTGGCCATGAATTGTCTTTATCGCTGTTAATTCTATATGCCTGGTGCGGGTCCAAACCACCCGGAGTTGAAGTACGTAGATCGCAGATCGACCGGATAGAGCTTGGCTGACCTCAAACACCAAAGAGGTGAGCCTCAAACCCCAATCTCTTTGCTTCGCCCCGAAACCACAAACCGCACAAACCACAAGCTCCGATGGCCTCACAGGAGACCAACATCTCTGAGGTCATCAATTCCTGGCGCCACGGTCGCGCACGGCTGGACGACTTCACGGGCGGGCGGGTGCTGGTTGTTTCAAACGCTACGACGTCACAAAAAAATAGAAAGACCGAGGTATGTGCCGTCCGTCTGGTTTCACTCCATGTGATGCCTTTTTCTGTTTTGCAGACTTGTTGAGCACAAACCGTTCACCCTTACAACATTACATATGGCACCCTTTTTGTACTATGTCACGCCCTCCCAAGTGGACAAAGTGCAAGTCTTCGATCATCATCGTTTATGCAAATCCTTTTGTTAGCGTCTTCGACACCTGTCAGCTGGTGCAAATGCAGCATCTTACTCCATGTCCACTCAAATATCCACAAACAAGAGAGAGAGAGAGAGAGAGATCATCTGACTTTTGATGATATACCGTATACCTCAACCAAAACAGCGATCCAAGAAGAACCCGGAAAAGACCCAGCACGCATGAACCGGCGGACCCCTACACCGGCACTCCAGCTCCTCCTCTGTTTGGAAGCTCCGCCGCTCGCGCAGGAAGCGCTGCAAGCGCAGCACGGCCGCTTTCAAGCGCAAGAAACACTTCCGCTCCTGCGTGAAGACGGCAAGATGCGGCAAGCTTGGTGAAGGCTGCCAGCAGGGTACAAGCACTATAGGAGTGTTCTTCTCTGCCTTCTTGTCATGTCTTCCAAGGGGTTTTGTTATGTCGGGCGCGCCAGTCATAGATACAAGGAGCCAAAATATCTATATAAAGCAAAAAAAAGCAAAAGGTAAAGCACACAAAAAAGAAAACATGTAGCTGTGCGTGTTTGTCGCTTTGTTTTTCACTTGTTTTGTTGTTTTTTTTTTCCGCTTTATTTTGTTTTTTTTGTCGCTTTATTTTCGTTGTTGTTTCGCTGTTTTTTCCTAGGAGCGTACAGCAAATATTGCTGACGAGTAAAAGTTCTTATAAGTGCAGAAGTGGTACCAGGAAAAAAGCAAAAAAAGCATAACAAATGCAAAAACAAAGCAAATTGCGCTGCTTTTGCATTTTCATTTGCATGTTGTTTTGTTTTTTTGCAAAACACAATTATTTGAAGGTTGGTCATGTATGGCTGCCATTGCCCAACATAAGGGGTTTATATCTCTCTTACATTCTCTTCCGCAACAGTGCGCACAGAGTCTACAGGGGTCTCCACTCAAAATCTAACATCTCGTCCAAATTCCCGATCCATGCACCCAATTTCGATGCGATCGGGAGATCTTGGGAGCACCAAGTTGAGAAGTGACACAAGTTGGACCAACCTGCTTGGAGGTTCTCCATGGTTCTACCATGGTTCTACCCATGATATCTTCATTTTCCTTCTCCACGCAGGTTTCCGAAATGAAAGGACACTGGCTATGACGCTTCCCAGCCAATTGGACCATCTACCCGCTGAAATACTTCATGTTATGCTCTTGGTAGTGCTCTTAGTCTTTTTGCTTTGTTTCTCATAGCGATGGCCTCCACCCTAGTAGCGATGGCCTCGAACCTATCTATATAGTATATATATATATACATACTATCATGCGATCACATAATTGCTCCAACCCAGCTTGAAAACCTTCGGAACGCTCCGATACGCCCCAATGCCACACGCCAAACCCTGAACCACGCCAAACCGAGGCCGGCACACCGCGACCGGAACAAACCGCATCTGGGTTAAGGCGTGTTAAGGCGTGGTACAAACCGGAGCAAACCGCTTCCAGCACCACTGATTCGGGGTGTTCTTATTTTCTTTGGTGCCCAGGAAAAGCCCGTAAATTCGAGGTGTCCATTCACGAACCCCACCACGCACCGGTCACGCTGGGTGCTTCGCTTGTGGGGAACGTTTCTTCGTCACGACCGGCCTGCCGACCCATGTGCCAGGCACGCAGGTGGGCGACCAGCACGGCGGCCGAGACGAGGTGCTTCCGGTGCAGCCGACGGACCTCGAAGGGCGAAGGTCGAAGAAACTGCAAGCAGAATTGGTGTTGGGAAATGACATGAGATCAAGTCAAAGAAATTCAGCAATTCCATGCAATTCCACAAATTTAGCCGTTAAAATGCCCTGAAGTGATCTAATTACGATGTGATATGTATTCTGAATTCGTTCTTCAAGCCTTCGGAAGGACTGAACCCCTGCCAAACGCTGCCACGCTGCCATGGTACCCCGCCAGTGCGCCTGGCCACCAATTCTTGTGGTCCATGGTTCTTGTGTGCACTGCACAATATGCAGCAAATCAATTGATTTGCCAATTCCATATATTTCCTACCTCCGAGTCCAAAAAAACCCAAGAATATCAAAAGCAAAGAACATGAAGGAAAAAACATGAAAAAACGAAGAACGACTCCAGAGTGCCGACTTCTGGGTGAGGCATTGTGTTTGAATGATTTTGAATGTATATACTGAATCCAGCTTTGAATGCACCCGGAACCCCGCCCTGCACCGCGCTCCCGACCCGACCCACAGTGCAGTCGGACTGACGACCTGTAGTAGGATCGCTGCCTGCGCGTCAGTGTCTGACCTGCGCAGAAGCGGAAGAAGGGTCTGTGGTCCACCGCGAGTACCGCAAAGTCGTTGAGGTTCCTCGATACGACCAAATACCATCAGTCTGCAAACATTCCAAAATACTCCAACATCCAAATAATGGTCGACATGATTACATAAAGGTAAACGCCCCCATGCATTAGCTTGGACATCATTGCTGGCCATCGCTAGTAGGATGGAGGCCATCACTGATAGAAACAATCACAGAAGAAAAGAACATGGGACCCTTCTCCACCCGTCCTCCAAATGGCCGCCGGCCTTTCTTCGGGCGACCAGGACCGGGAGGGCGCTTTCCAGCCTTGGAAGCCGCAAGCGGCCGCAAGGTCGCCGAAGAACGAGCTACCGTGGCTTCCCCCTTAGCTATACTTTCTTCGAACTCGACCAAAGACCGTCTCCAAGACCAAAGACCGTCTCCAAAAACCGTCTCCAAAAAGTGACCAAAAACCGTCTCTTCTTCGAACTTGACCACAGACCGTCTCCAAAAAATGGAGACCGACCGTCCCTCGGCTCTGTCTGGGCAGATTCTTCACAACCCACTGATCAGTTGGACGGTGTTGATGGGTTTGGTGGACACACTCACTGGATTTCCACCACCTTTCACAAAGAGTTCGGGGGATCATCGCCGGTTCTTAGTCGAAATCCAGAATCCGTTCATCTAATGAATGGGAGATCCCAATGGGACATAATCTTCCTCTGATTTTCCCTTTACAAAGGAATGAGGAAAAAAAGGTAACAAACCATGTGATTCATGTGATTCCTGAGATCTGCGCTGAAGCGGTGCCTCGGGGAGATGCAGGACACTTGGCCTTGGCTGACGGTTTCCTTTCACACCACTGGCGGAAGACCATTGGGTATAGTGGTTTCAGAGGTTCGATGGCACAAGTTACCCCAAGTGACAGGTGGCTTCGATGCACCCCGAAAAAAAGACCTCGGACTGCCAGTGCGTGCGCCGTTTTTCCTCTGTTTCACCAGAGTCGTGCGGATTCGCCGAACTCGTGCGAACACGAAGAGTCTGGAAGTCCTGGTCTGGACCGGACCTTCGACTTGCGAAGAGTGGCGACCCTTCGGGAACCGACGTGCGAGACGTACGCAACGTCTCGTGTCGGCTCACGAAGGAGACCACTCCGTAGAGAGTGACTGTCGGACTGTCCAGTTCCACTGACCCCCTCAGAGTGATTTCCGACTGTTTCTTTTGGGGGGAAACTATTAAACAAAAAGGTTGTGCAAGTTGTCCACTGATGGGGTAGGGTATTGATCAGTCTTTAGATTGTCAGTGATGATGTGCTTGCACCCGCCATTGATGGTGTCAGCCAAGTCTTACCGTCTTATGATGAAATTAGACTGCAACACCAGGTCAAGCTGTCAAAGAACATGGCCTCCAAATGCACCCGCATACAAGAAATGGATCTGATCAGTGAAAAACTGAAAATGAACATCAACAGAGCTTGGGATTATCCTTTTGGCCATAGCTTGGGGGATGAACATCAACCTGTCTTGATATCTGTCGAACGACAGGTATGTCAAACCTGCCATTGCCAGCCCGATGCGCAGACTAGATCGGACTGGATCGGAAACTAGGCTTCCAACTGCCAATGGAACTACTCCTGGCGAACGCCCGGAACTACCGCCCTGTTCCTTTTCTGTACCTCGAGTTCTAGAGTCCCAGTGCTAGCGTACCCATGGCATGCAGTGCTCGCGATCGAAGCCTTTCGGACCTGTTTTGATTGGAACTTTAGATCTCCAATGAGAGATTTCATCCCAAGCAGGTGAAACAAGGTGGACACAAAAGCGACCATTTCATGTCAACGAACATCCAGTCTTCTAAATATATACAGAAGACGAAATATATGAGTGATTGAGGGTGTTTGCGGGTTTGGTTTTGTGGCTCAAGTTTGACGTGTAAGGGAGTTAACGTTTCAGAATAAAGGAAGTGTCGCAAAAGTTAGTGTTTTCAAACTTTTGGTGTTTTGGAGATGGGAAGTCGTGCTGATCTGTTGGTCGCTGGCTTAAGAGTGTTTGGAGATCAGGGTCCAGGTCAGTTGCCTTGACGTGCGCAATGGTAAATAAGCGGCCAGCTTTGAAAAGACCAGCTGCAGCTTTGAAGCGACCAACTTCCAGGAGCTCTGATGGGTTGGGTCGGGGGACTGGAGGTGTGGTGAGTAAGCGGGATCACATTTTTTGTTCCCAGGCACCCAGCTCCGAGTGAGTACCCAACAACATGAACAATTTAAATAGATTTTATTCACAATAAATTGTGACTGAAATTGGTGTGCCTAGATCCAGCTTGACCTCTCTTTCACCAAGTTGGCCAGTTGGCATTTGTGATCTCTATTGATTGTAATATCCTTCAGCTGCAGCCATTTTCTGAACGCTCTTATTTAATGCCCAAACAATTGACCATCGCAAACCTGCCGGGTAGTAAATGTACCTGCAGTGGAGTCAATTGCTTCCTGCAATTCGCAGATGATGCAGCGTCGGTGCAATGTGAGAGAAGCAGATATCAACAGCTAGATGCGCTATGTAAAGACCCCAGCCTATGTATTATTACTATATGATTTTAATAGTTTTTCCTCTAATCTTTCATGGCCCAAAGTCTAATAATATACTGTTGGTTTCAGACACAAAACGACATAAGGAAGCCCTCCTTCGAGATTGGTACAATATAGCACCGGTTACTTTGCTCTCAGACGCCAAGCCTGCTGGACAGTCTGATGGGGCACTCTTGTTGGAGACAGACTCTGAGGCCGACGAGCGTTGTGAGGACCAAATCTTGTTCGAAACTGACTCTGAGTGTGAAGCTGGACCCAGTCACCCTGAGGAGAATGAGGTGCAGGAGCTTCTGCTAATGACAGACTCTGACCAAGAGGTTGAATCTGATGTTCCCGAGCAAGCGGCCAAGAGAAGGAAGTATGCCGAAAGAACCAAATCCCAAACATTGAAATTTTTGGGCAAAGATGTGTGCAAGAGGGCACATATGAGGCTGTATGCCATTGGCTCAGGTGCTGTTCAGAAACTGCGCCAGGGCCATCGAGCTTACACAATGCAGGATGGACGGATGGAGGAACCAAAGCACGCTACTCTTGGAACCTCTCTTGTGCGTTCTTCCCTGCAGAAGAAGTGGCCCAATATCATGTCGTTCTTTTGGTTGCTGTATGTCAGCTGCGCGGAAATTCTACCCACCAATTTCGTTATGCCAACTACTATTGGAGTGGGCAAACTGGCAGAAACTCGAGTGGCATCGGACCCTGACTTCCAGGACCGATATATCAGCCAGTTCATGAGAACCCTCGAAAACAACTACGATACAGTCGCGCGGATTTGCCTAATGAAATGTTTTTGTTTTGCAATATTTCAACGATACTTAGGGTTGTCAGTGCTTTGTGGGGGGAAACCTTGTGAGGTAAGCCCTGGCAGTGGACCAGGTACATTCTCAGGACCGGCCAGGTACCTCGAGTGGATGAGGCCAATTGATCTGTTTATGCAGTATCAAAGCTTCTGTGAAGCGATCAACGATCCTCCTGCTTCCTTCAGCACCTTTCGCAGACTGATGAAATCGATATTTGGCTGCCACCTGAAGTTTAGAGACAAGGGCAGTTTTTCGCAGTGCACAGTTTGCTTCAATTTGCGGAGGAAGATTAGACAATCAAGAAATAAATTCGACCGGGCAGCGGCCACAAGGCTGTATTCAAAGCATCTTTTGGCACAATGGCTGGATCGTGTTTTTTATTGGAGTCAACGATCCATGTCGCGTCAGTACTTCTCACAGGGATTACACTTCTCCAAAAAGTTCAGCTCCGACCTGTCGAGTTCTTTGGTTACTATAATTCAAGACGGAATGGACCAGAGTAAGCTGAGGATACCTCGTTGGGGGTATGGGCGTATGAGTAAAGACGCTGAAAAACTCTATAGGCCTGCTTTACATTTGGTGGCATCTTGGGCACATGGGTGGAAGCTTGGAATACACCTCAGCTGCGAGGATATGAAAAAAAACAGTGTCACCAGCATTGAGGTTCTTTGCAAGTCACTTTGCGACATTCTCTCTGGTTGCGGGTCAATGCCTCTAGGCATCTACTTGCAACATGACAATACATATAGAGAGGCAAAAAACAAGTACATGCTCAATTTCCTATTGATGCTACAACTGCTGGGAGTCGCAAGAGTGGTGACTATGGGATTCCTAAGGGTTTCCCATTCCCACGAGGATGTGGACCAGGCTTTTGGTCAAATTTCCAGGTTGTTGGCTGGCAAGACTCTCATGTCTGATCAGGAGGTGCTCAGTCTACTCAATGAATGTTTCAGGTCTGCTGCAGAACCTGGTGAGAAGTCTGGCCGCCTCCGGGGTGCAAATGCTGATGCAGTGAAATTGGACCAAACAGCTCTGTGGAAAGAATTTGTCCGCCAAACAAGCCTGAATTTCAAGGGATTGCGCCATGTGCACTACTTTAAATTTACTCTTCGCAAGGACCTGGGGTCGAACATCTTGGATAACATTTTGAATTTGGAGGAGTTTGGACGCGGACGGTTGCCACATGAAGATGATGTCTTTTTGGTGACAAAACGCTGGCTGGCGGATTCAGAAGTGTTGCGTGCCATGGTTGTTGTGCCAGCAGCTGTGGCTACGCAGATACGGCTAGGGTACCATCCACCAGCAGGTGTTGCAGACCGGAGAGCCATTACAGAGCAAGTCAGTCGGAATATTTCCAAGAGAGTTCCCAAACTGGCACGAAGTGGGGAGTTGACAGGGGCAGGTGCTAACTACTTGTTGAAATGGAGCACTTGCGTATTGCCTCACGAGCCCAGACCAACAAGTTATTGCATCCTGAATCACAGATACGACCGAGAAATGAGGAATGAAATCTACCATCCTGGCTCCTGGCTGCGGCCTCATCGGGTGAGGCATTTTGATTTGTCTGCCCAACCAGACCCTGATGCTGCGGGGTCTGAAAGTTCTGACTCCGATGGTGCTGTGGAGTTGCCAGTTGGATTTGAGGTTTGACCCTGCTGCTCAAGGCAGCTGCTGAATGCCTCAAAAAGGAGGTGCCACTTAGCCGTTCGTCCTGGAATAGTTTGGGGGGCAAGGGTTTCCTGCCATGTGCCAGGAGGAAAGTGGAGCGGGACCAGGAGCCAGACACGGAGATACTGTTGTCTTCAGATCTCGAAGGTGATCAGACTGATCTGCCAGGCCGGATGACTTTGTCGTGTTGTGGAATCACAAAAGGGTGATGGTTTGGGTTCTCTAGGTTTGGAAGTCTTTCAACTTTCTCAGATGTTGCACTGATCCCAATCCGACTTTACTTGATTCAGGTTCAGACGAGGACATACTTTTGGAATCTGGTGACGACAACGAGACAGCTTCTGGGTGGCAGCCTCCGCTGGACAAAGAACCCTGCGATCCTTGGCACTCCTTAATCAACACTATTTTACTTTTGAATGCAATTTTGAACCATTGTTGATTTTTCCCACAGGGTTATAGGGTAGAGGTTTTGGTGCATCAAGAATGGTGTAATCATTGGTCCAACTAAGATCGATGCCTTCGTGTGCGATGTCATGCGCAGCGAAACCTTCGCAGATCTTTTGCAGCGGGTTGCCAGGAACTTTGACAAGATTGGTGTCTTGCGGGTAGGCAGCTTCTTTTCGGGCTGGGGCGTTCTTGAGATGATATGCCGCAGTTTGGAAGAGCATTGGGCTCTACCTGGCCAATTTAAGGCATTCGGTGGCAAAATTGATGTGTGTGTGTGTGTCTTTTTGACAGATGAATCTTTGCAAGCTTTCGTTTCGCTCATGAGTATGTTAAAAACCTCCTGTCATCGCTGTTGAGGGATTACCGGTCTGTTTTGTATCATCCTCAGGTGGACGTCAAGTTCATGGCGGAGAACGATGCGCGCAAGCAAGGCTACCTGGCTTCAAGGTTCCCCAACACGGTCCTGTTCAATGATGTCACAGAGACCGTGAAACCAACTGCTCGGCTATGGGATGGCATGACTGCAAGAGTTCCACAGGCCAGAGGTTTGGTTGGAAGATTTATTTTGCTTCTTTTGATTCTCAATCCATGGATTAAACTCACATTGATTTTTAGTAGGGTTGACATGGATTTTGAGGAGGGCCCTTCAATAACATATTATGACAGTCACTGTTATCCCGCCAGGTGGACCTGTTGGTTGGGGGGTTCCCTTGCGTGAGCGTCAGCATGCTCACGACGACTCCTGGGTCAGTGGTCGACAAGACTTGCAGCAGTGGGAGCGGCTATTTAGGCCTCGAAGGGTATGTCAAGAAGCACCGCCCCCGGCTGCTACTCCTGGAAAATATTGGCTCTTTGTTTTCGAAGCGGGAAGTCGAAGATGGACAGTCAGCGTTTCTAGCAATGTCATTTTTTCCTCCATGACGCGATGTTTTATGGTGTTTTCCTCCCAAAGCTGAGGCTAGTGGGAAGCAAGTGAATTGACCCATATATTATATTATACTGAATGTTTAAAACATGTTTGACTTTTTTGGACTCATATTGAGGTATGATGTCATTGCCAAGCGCCTGGGCAAGCTTGGCTATGCAGTGCATGGAGATGAATACAACGCGGCTGATTTTGGGCTTCCACAGCAGCGGCGCCGT